TGCGCCAGGGGAGGTTTAGATTGGACGTGAGGAAAAATTTCTTTACTGAAAGAGTGCTTAAACATTGGAACAGGCTGCCCAGGGAAGTGGTTGAGTCCCCATCCCTGGAAGTATTTAAAAGATGAGTAGATGAGGCACTTAGGGACATGGTTTAGTGGGCATGGTGGTGTTGGGTCAATGGTTGGACTTGATGATATTAGAGGTCTTTTCCAACCTCAATGATTCTGTGATTCTATGAACACATTACTCTGGCTCCTCCTGTCACATGATCATAGTTTACAAGAGTGCAGGCCTGCGTGTAACGTGGGAAGGCAGTTTCCTCTCCTGCAGAGCCCACACTAAACAGACAATAGCTGTTCTGCCCTGGCATGCGTGAAGTCTGCTCTGCCTTGGCAGGGAAACAGCCTTAATTCCTGAGCGCATTACTGCTACATGTGTGCGGATACCACATCGTGCAGCGCTCAGTGGTTGGTCTGCTGGAAACTTTTCATTAAAAAAATCTGGAAAATGTAGGCTAGCAGGCTACTGGGGCAGAGCGGTGGGAAGGAGTTGGAGGCTGAAAGGCAGCAGGGAGGGAGGAGTGGGAAACATGAACGCATCAGTGGAAGTGCGGCCGTTGCAGGGGTTTGGGCAGACCAAGCTGAACAGGGCAGAGTGGGACCCAGTACATTACAGCTGTGCTGCAGCGTGGCAGCCCCTTACTTTACAACACATTGAGCATAACATAGGGCAGTCCTACTGCCCAGGTCATGTCTTCTTGTGAGAAAGCTGTGAAAATGAGCCGCTGATTAGCTGTTCTAGAGCCAGTGCATCTAGGTGCAAGCAAATACCCATCCCCAGGTTTCCTCGGCCAGAACAGCAGGAGCATCTGCCTGGACTTCCCAATTGGCTGTCTGCCTCTCTGCAAAGCTGCAAGCATGGTAAATCCCACACCTGGTTGAAATCAGTAAGTCTTGCTGCACTCAAGACTCAAGAGTAGCACAAAGGGTAATACAGTCAACAGGTAGCTGGCTGTTCCCCAGGCATTTCAGAACAGCCCTCAAGTGTTCAGTTTTACACTTGAGGATCCTCTGATTTTCATTTATTTTCATTAAGTAGCAAATAAACAGAAGCTGTGTCACTGCGGTGCAAAGCCAAAGCTGTTTCCAAACCTCAAGTGGCCACATGCAGCTGGGAGGAGTGGTAGCCCTGCAGCCTAACCCCTGCCTACTTCATTTTAAAATTTGGAAATGTCCCCCTGAGGCAAATAAAAGGATATTTTATAAATATATCACAAACACACCCAAGAGGGAATTTTAAAGGACATTTAGGAGCCTGAGCTTGAAATAGGGACGTAAACAGCTTCTGAAAACTGCCTCTAAGCCTTAGCAACAGCAGACCCAGCTGCCCCAGACCAGCATACCCCACACACAGCTGAGTGCTCCTCCTGGGCCGTAGGATGTGCTGGGGTAACAAATCAGCCTCCACTGGGGACTTGGGCCCCCTCGTACCAGGAGCTGTAAAGTTATGCCCAGCTCTACTCCAGGGAGCTTGCAAGCCAAATACAAGATGGGGACACACAGACACAGCACCAGGTTGGGCATGCAGGAGGATGGCATAACAGATGAGCAATGTTCTCCATCCTTGGGGTGGGGAACAAAAAGCCAATTGAAGACTGATTTTTATGGGAAACTTGTACCAATATCTTTTTTTTTAACAAGTCTAGAGCAAATATACACCTCTGGCACTTGCCAGCATCCTAACATGTCTTATGAGGAGAAGCAAAAAGATATGGCTGCAGCCTCCAGCGAGCTGACGCAGAGCCAGTAAAATTACTGAGGGTTCCCCATTCGTGTTTCCCACCTCGCTTTTTCCACGTAGGGATCCCAACCATAGCACCGAAGGAAAAAGTCTCACATGAAAGATAGAGCATCTGAAGGCTACGTCGTACAGCAGGTTTTGGCCCTGTTGGTGTTGCTTGTGTGCCTCGTTCATTAGCTGTGTATCCTGTTCCCATCTAAATCACTCCTCCAAGTGTGTGGCAGGTCTGGCCAGCAGCAGCCTGGCAGCGTCAGTACAGGACACGGGGACAGGGTGACATAAACTAACAACTCGCTTTCACACATGTGCTACAACACAAATAAATTCAAGAGTGACGATGAGTAAGACTATGGGTTTGTCTGCTAGATCCCCTGGGAGCATAGGCTGGCTCTAAATGAGCTTAGAGACATAGTCAAGGTTGTGGAGGATGAAGAAGATACCAGAGCTGAGATGCCTGGGACAAGTCATCTCTGTAGAATCTGTGATGGTGAGGCAGGATCAGATATGCTTAAATGTGCAAATCATTTTTTCTCCCAAAGACATAACAACCACAATCTTCAGCAGAGGCACTCTAACCTGTGCATAACAGCAAACTATACCATAATGTTTCTTCCTTTAGGATGCCAATGCTCACACAATTGGTCTATTCAGGCTTCATTCATTCCCAAAGCAAAAAAAATGATATATCCCTTACCGATAAAACAAGCCACATACCGCTACAGCTGCAGGATGGAACTAAAGAACAGGACTGTAATAGGCATGAGGAATAACGGCTTTTCATTGAAACCACCCAGGTTTTGTTCAGTCTTGAGACAAGAGGGCTAAGGGGGCATCATATCACGGCCTTCAGCTGTCCAATGGAGGGTACAGAGAAGATGGGGCCAGATTTTTCTCAAAAGGGAACAGTGACACAAGAGACAACAGACACAAGGTGAAGCATCGACAATTCCAGTTAGACATGAGGGAAAACGCTTTTCACTGTGAGAGTGGTCAGACACTGGAACAGGCTGCCCAAAGACGCTATGGCTCTCCATCCATAGCTCAACTGGACACAGTCCTCTGCAACCTGGTCTTACAGAACCAGCTCTGAGCAGAGGCTGGCCCAGATGACCTCCAGAGGTCCCTTCCAACTGAATTACTCTGTGATTCTTTGAATACTACCTGCCAGTCACTATGGCAATCACCCTGAGAAATATCTTACACTGTACATTTTATTTATTTTTCCCCCAAAATATCTAAGTATAAATCTCAATGCAGGAAACACAAGCTTATGCTACAGCAACAATGTTATTACACACCACTGGCAACCAGCACCACATGCAGTCACATTATATATGGCCATATAGTTTAAGGCTGTTTCAGCTGATAATGGAAAGGAGCAAGAATCTGCAAACCGTTTTCCAGAGAAGTGGTTGTCACCGCACAACCACCACACCAGACCAAACAGGTATGGTGGGGGGGACTCGGGACATAGCAGTAGCAGGGATGCATCAGATTGTGAGCAGAAGAGTTTTCTCCTTCATCTTTGATGACGATTCCTTCATCTTTGTAGGGTTTGGTGCCCTGGGGAAGCTGGCTCCCCTGAGGCTGCTTCCAGCACCCCAGGAGGAATTCATTTCAGTGAAGCTGGGTTTTTCTGTTAGGTCAAGAACCTAAGTAAGGTCTCTAGATTCCCTCTGCGGTCTAAGGTGGGAGAGGCATGTTCAGAGGACAATCCATCCCATTAATCTTAAGACGCCTCTCTTACAACAACATTCATTTGACTGACTTTAAATTGTGAGAATATGGAATTAGATGAATCATGACCTGGAGGTGCCCACCCCTTCCCCTTGGCCAGGATGAGGCGTAAACCACAAGCTGAGAGGTGAGCATTGCCATTACAGATCTTTAAAGTGGTGGGGATTGGCCTCACACCAAGGGATGCCTGAGGGTGGTACAGGGCCCACATCAAGGATGCCTTCTCCTGTGGCCCCTTGAGCAGCTGGGACAGGGGACAGGAAGAGGTCTGCTTCAGCTAACAGCTGCTCCTTGGTGTCCCCAAGGCTCCTTGAAAGGAAGGAAACAGAACATCTTTCCCAGGCATTTCTTGGGCTTTGGTGTTCCCCAAAGAGGGATTATATTCTTCGTAGAGGTGGGCAGGCAGGAGCAGAGAGGAGAAAAATGACTCCCTCAAGGTCACCAGTGGTGCAGGGGGCAGAGCTGGGAAGAGAAAGACATTGTTCTCCTGCTCCAGCCTCTAACAGCTGCCAGCTCATGTTCAAATGATGGGAGCTGCAAACATGCTTTTCAGACCTCTGCTTCTGAGATTAATTCACCTGCAGACCAGGTGCTTATATCCTTGTATCAGCACCTATCTCAGAGTCTCTTTCTGAGCTTGCTTTAACACTGCTTTCCTGTCCAGCAGCCTTCAGTTTGTCCATTCTCTTGCCACCAGGTAATCTTTTGGGGCAAGTGGGGAGATACTGAAACCAAGAGACAGTGCAGTATTTGGTGCCTATGCCAAACGGAAGATCATAGACCTTGGAAATGAGCTGAGAGTTGTCTGCCTCTCCCTTGTGGCTGTTCTTCCATGCCAGGAGGCCCCGCTCCTCCTGTGTTCCTGCAACAGCAAAAATAAGATCGTTGTGTTTAAAACAGCAGGTGTTCTGAGCACAGCACTACCTTGTGGGCCTCACACCCACTTCTCAAATCCCAGCAGGCCCAGCACAACATACAGATCCCTTGCACTTAAACCCTTCTAGCTCCAAAGCTCTTTACAAAAATTCACTAACGAGCTTCTAGGCAATACCCGTCTTTCTGCAACAGCTTCCAGATAAGCAGTCTTCTCCACTGCTTTCCACAGGAATCAAGTATACCAAGACAGGTTTTCACAAGCCATGGGGCATCCAAGAACTGTTCAAAGGGGGGGTCATACAGTGCTAGGAAAGCAAGGCTGGATGTTAACTGCCCAGATACTGCAGAGTGGGGCAATAAGCTTTAGCTAGCAATTACTAGTCAGTCACAGGCATTTACCCTAGCCAAGGAATTGCTAAGTGCCTGTAATTGTTGCAGCGGCTGAGTCCCTCCTGGGAAAGGGAGTGAGCACACCTGGAAATTCTGCCTGGAGGAGCTGAAGATCAAGGCCTACAAGAAAATTAATGAACCAAAAGGAGATTGGCTTTCCAAAAAGCCTGAGACGGTAAAAGAATCTGGTTAACAGAGTGTCCTTCCTGCTCTTTTTCTGTAGCAGAAAAGAGGGTTTCCTCTCCTATTCTTATGCCATCCCTCCCCAGGCTCGATGAAAATCAGAGGCTCTTTGTTGTCTGTGAGGGCCAGCTGCAGGTGCTATATCCTATCTTTGGTCATCAGCCTTTCCTACTGCTTTCCACTGCTGTGGCACCAGTTCAGCCTCAGTTTTAGCAGCTCTCATAAGGAGGCATGCACTGGCTCCTTCCACTTCTTGTAGTTGCCTTTCTCTCTCCTTTCAACCAGCAATATGGCTCTAGGCTGGCATTTTCTCTAAAAGACATTTTTCCCAAATAAACCTTTTCCTCAGACTGGGTTGTTCCTGAAAAATGAGTTCGTTTTTGATAAGCTGCTGTTTTCCAACCGGAGACCATTTCAGTGATGTCTCCTGTTCCTCTCCCCTCTCTGGGAGGAGTTCAGTCACATGGTGTTTCATGGTTGCCAGCACAACTCCTGCCCATAGAGCAGTAGTCATGAAGACAAAAAATACTAGGAAACAAACCCTAGGGCAGGCACAAACTAGTAGCTTAGCTCATTTCAGCAAATCCTACCTGGAATGGTGTTATCAAGGATAAACCCCAGGAGTCCGCCCACGAACATGCCAGTGGTGAGAAGCACCTGGATCACCTGGTCCAGCTGGATGATTCCTAGCAGAAAAACAAAGCTTTGGATAGCGGTGCAGAGACGCATGTTTGACCAGCAACATACCCCGTGCCAAGAGGCTGCAAGCTGCATGCTTGTTTAGACAAGACTTGCAAATCCCAAAGCAGAGCTTAAGATTTGGCAATGCAAAGGAGACTGATCTCACTGCCAGTTTCAGACCTACAGTTCTATTCTGCATAATTATTCACTGACCCAGCTGCTGGTGGGCAGGAGATGACTCATGAGTACATTAAGAGCCTATTAACAGTGCAGACCACAGCACTGTCCCAGCAAAAGCAGCCTTCTGCTCCAAACATGTTCTGCACCTCCATGCATAACATATAATGACATAACAGTTCCCTACAAACGCATGAGCTTCAGTTCCCAAAGAAATATAGGTACATTTAGCATGGGATTTCACCACAAGTTAATCGGTGTGATATTTCCCCGTGAGGGCTAATTGACATGAGCAAAATAGCCCAGTGACATAGAGCATCTGAGAGACCATCTATAGAGCATGTGGTTTGTGGGCCCAGCTTTCAACAGCCCACTCAGCATGCCATATATACCTTAAGAGAGGACACTACAGTCTTTGTGACAAACACATTAGTCACACGAGACACAATGAGGGCATAACTTGGAGGACTGGAAATTTCAATGAAGTGAACTTGATGGAATTTAGTAGAAGAGTCTGCTCTTGCGTTTTGGAAGTACAAAGTTTTATTGTGTATGAACATGTAAGAAAGCCTCATTCGTTGAGGTCTTAATCAGGATTCAGTCCTGGATTTTCTCCTGCCCAAAGCCCCATCCCAAGAATGTGTCCCAAGGAAAAGCTCTGCAATCCTTAGCCTGACAGGAATCTGGCGAGGTGCAGTCACTGATCAAGAGCAGAGATTTCCACACCAGAGCTGTGCATCAGAGCAAAGGGCAAGAACAGCCCTCTCAGAAAGAAACAGGCAATAGTCACTGAACAGGTTTCAGGATTTTATCAGGAAAACCTGCATTTTAAAAGATTTCTCTGAATCAGCCTTTGCTTCAGTTTTATGCTACAAAAAATGCTTCTGATGTCGCTTCTTACCTGTTTCCAGCAGTGTACTATTTTTGCTTGCCCAGTTGGGAACCGTGAGGCCAGCAAATACAGAAAATCCAAAGACAAAGATGTTTCTGGAGGAGTTCATATCTGTGTACTGTACAGAGAAATTGTATACATTACATTTGGAATTACCCAAATCTGTTGATTACTGTCGTGTTCATGAGACATGCTCGGATATAAACACTGCATGCAGGAGTGGACCCAGGCAGCAATCCTGGTGCTACTGGAGCATTAGTCATCCTGCTGCCCCTGGTACCAGCAAGCCCTGCCCCAACCAGGGAGCCCTCTGCAATTTAGTCCCTCTGGGTACGTGCCCTCATCTTCACCTGAGGAACTGTCAACGCAAATGTTTGCATTAGCTGCAGTGTGGTTATACCTGACTCAGCCTGGTAAGAACCTGACTTGAAACCAAAGTCCCCTTCCCTAGGGATGAAACGGCGCTCGCACAGCTGTTACCTGCAAATTGGAAATCCCCACTGCCGTGATAACTCCAAACATCACAAGGAACATGCCTCCGATCACAGGGGTAGGTATGCTGGCAAGCATCGCTCCGACTTTCCCGAAGATGCCGCTCAGGAGCATGGCACAGGCACCAGCAGTGATCACCATTCGACTCCCTACCTGGGGCAAGAGGAAGAGGAGGCAATCACACACCGACCAGTGCAGAGAGGCGAGGGATGGCAGGCTCCAGCGCCAACCTGCCAGGCAGGGGTTGCACCTCGGGCCAAAGCACTCAATGGCATGTTCAGTCACAGGTTCAGATGCAGCCACCGGTGAGCAGGGATGCTCGCACTGCACAGGAAGCATCTGTATTTGCAGACTAGTAAATATTTATCATGAAAGGCACTCTGAGAGCAAGCATGGATCCACACCTATTTACCTGATGCTATCCTCTTTCCTACTGTTGTCAGGAATTTAACAGTTTGCTGTTAAACAAAAAAATTATTATTAAATTAAGAGCACAGTAATTCCCACACACAGCTTTGCTCTCGCTCCAGCCTAGAAATGTCTTGACAGACCCACAGGCTGGAGCTGCAACCACCCGGTCAATTCACTGGACAATCTTTCCACCAGGGTTTGGATTGCCATCTAAAAATGGCTTTCCACTAGGTGTCCCATACCGATCCCTCCCCTGCCTGGAGACCAAGATTCAGGAGAGCAGAGCTGGCCAGGCCGGCTGCTTTGATCCCAAGCTCTGGGATCTGATATACCGTTTCCATGGTCAACAAATGGCTAATAAGAAGCCGGGAAGTCTCTTGGTCTGTCCCTATCTCTCATCACCCATCTAGCTTCAGTAAAACCATTTTTTTTCTCTTTTTTTTTTTTTTTTTTTTTTTCCCCTAGGAAGAGCCAGGGTGGCCTTTTCTTGGTTGGGCACTACAACAAAGATGGGATGAAGCACCAAGCCATGCCTTTCATTCAGATCTGTTAGAGCATGTGAATAGGAAAAAAAAGAGTATCTGCCAAACAAAGGGATGAAAGAGATATTTACAGACTATAGAAACTAAAAAGAAAAGCAGCAATATTTATTAGACTTTCAATTCAAGATATGACTTGCACCAAAACTTGGACAGCTTAAAGAATCATGCTAAGATTTACAACATTCGTGTCTTAGGCAGGGAAACTCTGTAATCCTCTGCAAACATTTTATAGTTCAATTAAATATTTTAATCCCTCCCTTTAAATATCTAAAGAATGTCATATTTACAGGAAGGGAGTTTTGTGAATGCTTTCAACAAAAACATTTCCACTAACTAGTAGTGTCTCTTTTTAAGTATTTCTTAAACATGTCCCTTTACAATATTTTAAGTCTTACTTGATTGTGAAAGATAAATGAAAAAGATTTGGTGGGGCGTTTCAAAATAAAATCATGCATTGCCTTCAGGTGGGCTTTTTATATTCCTTGGCTTAAAACCTTGGGACATCATTACCATTAAAACTGTAATTTAATAAAAGCCAACAGATTTATTTGTTCCAGGATTAGAATGAAGCTTCAAATTCTTAATCTGCCAAAATGTCAAATTACCCAGTATATGGAGTTGGCCTTAAAGGCAAATTACCTAATCCACTGATACCACAGCTGTGAGCATATGCTGCTAAAGCCTCTAGTTTAGAGTTTGTTTCAATTATGTCAGGAAAACAAGAAAATCAGTTCTTATTCTTAAGGTCGAAGAAACCGCACAGTTCCCTGCTATCTATATGGTGACTCTGAGGTCTTTACCTCTCCTTAAAATCCTCCTCTTCTTTTCTTGGAAATGAGAGCTCAGCACTGGCATGCTGGGCTTGATCAAGCAGTTTAAACATAGGTGCCTGGTGCCATTTAAGATGTTGCATCTTGGCAGCTTCCGGCAGCTTCTCCTTGCCCCTGTGGATATCTGAGATCTCCAAAGATGTTTCAGGTAGTGCTGGACACCTCTGTTTAAGCAGAGGAAACAAGTCCCTTGCGTTGCCATTTGTTATGGAAAAATGTGTTTCCCACGTAAAAAATGAAATGAAATCTGCCTTGTGCTCTCAGCATCCCCATCTATCCCAGCCAGAGTCTTTACACTGATTTAAGGTTGACTGAGATGAGACTGTATTTTCTGCTCTCTTAAGTGTGAACGAGGTGAGCAGAGGTGGGATCTAACGGAAACGTCTCTCCTGAATCAGCAAGGATGGCATGTCCACCTGAAGGACTTAGCGTACATGGGGAGAACATGTCCTATAATCTGATAATTATGAGTCTGGGCACTTCTGCACTATGCTACATCCCATACACACAATGTATGCAGCAAACTACACGTCAGGAAAGAATGGGCTCAGGTACATGGTCAGTATGCACAGATTTCATAGTGACAAGGTACGTGTGGTGACAGGCTAAACTGGACTCCATGCAGACATCCAGACAGCCCTTGCTGCTGGAAGAGGTCACCTTGGTCAAACACTAACGCTTCAGTCTGTGAAAAATGGTTATTGTGAGTGAGGTTTATAAAATCCAGTGAAATAAGCAATATTATAGAGTGGGAGCCATAAGTCAAATTCTGCATTTATTTACTGACTCACAGCTCTGCTGACATGACATTGCTTATTTGACAATGATTTAAAAATGTTCTCCAGTTGGCTGCTGGATGTACCCGTTCCCTGGCTGCAAAGCTTAGTGAAAATCTATGATCTGGTTGTCAAGCTGATCTCTGGAAATTTCTTTCCCTTATAAGAGCAGTAAGAGACTCAAGGGATTCACAAAACTTTATAGAGAGGTAAAAACATAAACCTTTGCCATCACATTTTATAACCCCAAAGAAATAGTCTACCTGTCACATGATTGCCATCCTTGGGTTATAAAAATTCTGGAATTTGGAGCCCTATTAAATAGTTTCTTTTTCCCCCTTCCCTTCCCTTCCCTTCCCTTCCCTTCCCTTCCCTTCCCTTCCCTTTCCCTTTCCCTTTCCCTTTCCCTCTCCTCTTCATAAATATATTTAGGAAGACAGACAGACAGACAGACAGATAGTCTTTGATAAAGTCAGTCCTCAGGAAGTTTCCAGGTTATCTCAGATGTGCTCTCTTTAGTCTCACCTAAGCCAGGTGCCATGAGTAACAGCAGCGTGCACTCGTCCCATATGCAGACTACAAGCAGAGAGAGAGAGGGACTGACCACCTCTGTTAGGTGATTCGTAGTGCTGCTGAGGTGGTCACCAATGTGCCAGGGCACATTTTTCTGGCATGCCTTGCAGGACGTGGGCTAAGATCACATCCCAGGTCCAGCACATACCCATGTGCACCACTCCTTTGTACATACACCCCTGGGGGAAACCTCCAGGAGGGCCAGGGCACCACAGCCACCCTGCTGCAGCAAGGCTTACCTTGGTGATGCCCAGGGCCCCCACATTCTCGCTGTACGACGTGGTGCCGTTCCCCGTCCCCCAGGCACCGGCCAGGAGGCAGCCGATGCCTTCTACCCCGATCCCACGGCTGATGGCATGCTTCGGCGGCGGCGGGGCCCCAGACAGGCGGGCACAGGCGTAGTAATCTCCCACGGACTCCAGCATGGAGGAAATCACCCCGGCTAAGATGCCGAATATCCCAGCCAGGCTGACGGTTGGCACTCCCCACTGGCCTGCAAGTAAAGAGCTCGGTTCAGGTCAGTGGGGCACGTTTGCCCTGAAATCTATTGCGGGGGGGGAAGAGCAGCGAGGGTGCTTGTGGGTGTTTGCCTGAGTTTTGGCATTTCATCTCCCCCAGCTAGCCATAGGCAGAGGTGTAAGCTGGACCAGGGAGCAGCATGGTGGGATGGGGAAAGTGGAGGCAGTGGTACCTGGGTAAGGCAGCCGAAACCAGGGAGCCTGGGACAAAACATCCCCACGGGTGTCCGTCCGGGCCAGGTGGCCATAGGCGGTGGGGTCTGCAGGGAGGACGTCAGTCACCGTCAGCACATAGCAGAGCAGCCAGCTCAGGGAGAGCCCCAGCAGCACCTGTCCATCACATGCAGCAGTGGGGTCCGGTTAGGGCATGGCTGCGTCTCCGGCACAGTTGTGGGGGACAAGGTGTCTCCCTGCCTGACCCTTTCCCCTGCACGTGGGATGGAGGCAGAGGGATGGGAGGGGGTCCTGGTGGCCGTCCCTCCCTCCTTCTCTCCCCACATGCAGAGCCATGGGGACCTTCTCCCCCTGTGCCCCCTTGCCGCGCAGGCTGGGCTGGGAAGCACTAATTCAGCTGGACACGAGTGGAAAGAGCCCAGGCAGCCCGGGGTGGGTGAGGCCGGTCCCTCTGCCACGACCACTGGGTCTCCGGGAACCCCAACGTACTGGGAAGATCTGGAAGAGGTAGACCGGGGAGAGGTGGCACTTCTTGCCTCTCTGGTAAGATGGCAGCGGCACAGGGACATCTTTCAGGTACTGAGAGAACAGAACTATGAAAGAAATAGTCCTAGGAGGAGAGAAAAACAGACCATGAGACAAAGTGGGTGCTGAGCTGCCCGCCTGTCCCCACATGCTACCTGAGGACCCAGACTCCAGAGTACCCCAAGAACCAGGCTCTCGGCACCAGAGGGTGGCTCCCCACTCCAACAAGCCTGGGGTGGACATGCTTTCCATCATACTCTACTGACAGCTCTGCTGCATTTGCAAATATTTTTTTTCCCCTTTTGTTTCAGAACTGACTCCCCAGACGATGCATCACTGAGTATGACACAGTGGCCAGAGCTTAAAAATGATACTTGAGTAAAAGAAAAACCTCAGAGATGTGCAAGGTCCAGGCAGGCTATGTAGGAAACTGTCCCTGAACCTCTGTGTAATTCAGATATACTGGAAATACAGGTTTCATTGGTTTCCTGATGTCAGGTTTACCTATGCTGCTCTGCAAGCAGCAAAAAGCTCCTACATGGCACAGAGAAAAGAAAGATTTTATTTGTTTGTGCAAGTCCCTGTTTTGAAAGAAAAGAACATGGTGAGACTGTGGGGCTGCATGTAGCGCCCACAGAGCCCTCCCCACCAGCCAAAAAGGGGGGAGCACGACCCTCCAGTCTGCGAGGGCTGTGTGGCGGAGGGGTCCTCCAAGGCAGAGGTGCTCACCTGTGCCCCTGGCAGCACCCGCGGCTCATTCTGGTGAAAGCAACCATGAGGTGCAGCTCCTCTCCCACCCCTCGTGTAGGACACATCTCCCACGAACGGCAGCACAGCTGGGTGCACTCACAGCAAGCCCTGTCTGCCCCCGGTGTGTCTTCCCCCCAGAAAGAGCAACCAGATGAAGCTGGAGGCTGCAATATGCGGCGAGAGGGCAGGGACTGGGCACCCCACCTTGACTGCTGAGCTGGTAGAAGACCTTGGACATTTTCCTCCTATGTTAACCAGGCCTCTGAAGGGCTCCTCATTCTTTTATAACAAATCTGAATTGTATACATTGAGTGAATTAATCCGGATAGGATTTGGTGAGAAATCAATTGCACCAGTTGAAGTGCACTGACAGTGCACAGAAAACTGGTAGTTTTCCATGCATGAAAAGGTGACAAGCTACAGGTGCAATATTCACGGGTAGGCAGAATACCAGCAGTGCAAAGGAAACGCTAACCTCACCTCTCTGCAAAGACACACCACAACGTACAGCCAAAGGTTATCTATCAATCACGATTCAAAGCACTGAATGACTGGAGGCAGAAAGTCTGAGGAGGAACTAGTTTCCATTTGTGGTTTCTAAAGCTACAGAGCCCAGACAGTCTGCGTCAGTGTACATTTTGTGAATTTGCATTAACAAAGGTGCTTGGCAGCCTTATGAATCACTGCAGAGCCCTCGTCTATCTCGGGTAGGTGTCACTGCTTATTATTCAGGTTGCCTGACACATTCCATTAACAAATGCTATTTTCAGCTGCTTATAATTCTGCCTAACTTTACCCATTCAGGATGAAAATTTCCATGGAAAACGTCTGCCTCAGGCCAAATATTTCTGGAAAGATATATCCCAAACCTATTTCAAAGAATGATGTTCAGGAAATAGACATAGTATATAGCCTGCGTTGAGAAGGTCATTTTGCCTTGAGCAGTAGCAGGGTCTGCTTATGACCTGGAACAGAAATTTGAGATTTAGTAGAACTTGTTCTTTGGGGTGAGGGATATTGCTCTTTCTCACAAAAATCTGCTCAACTATGATCAGTCTGTAACAATGATTATTCAACCCAGGTCCCAAGCAGTCAGCAGAAATATCTCAGGCTCTAGTATTTGCAGCCCATAAAGATTCTGAGCTTTCTGAGTACGTCCAGGCCTTGCCCAGTGATGCACCATCACCAGGGAGCAAGTGAGCACGCACTAGACCAGTTTCTTGAGGCAACAGCAGGTATCGCCCATCATGGGAGCTCTGGAATGTGATGGGGCTGGACAGCAAGGCTGAGACCACATGGCTCATGTCTTCTGCCTTCTCCATCACCCTTCTCCCCCTTTCCTTAATGGCACCCGTGGAGCATGGAGGCAGCAAAAGAGGACACAAACTCAGACAGCCCAAAGCATGATGATCAGGTTGGGGCTAAGGTGTCTGAGTCACGGAAGAAAGGACTGGGATTAGCACGGGTAAAGATAGTAAAGAAATGAACAAGACAGAAAGAGTGACCAGAGTTGAGAACAGGGACACGGGTTGGAGGGCTGCGACCCCACTAATGGAGTAGCACAGTTGGGCAAAGAGGTCAAGTGAGGGACTGAGGTTAGGAGCCACTGACTGGAGAAAGGAGGCAGAAAACAGAGATAGTCCAGACAAGGATATAAATTTTGAAGGGAAAATTCAGACTGGCTAAGAAAAGGGGCTAGGACAAATCATCAGAGCTGGAGAACAGGACAACAAGCCAGAGACGTGGTGGGAGAAACAATGGTGAAAGGAAAGCTGGGGGCAGGCAGGGCTTGGGGTCATAAGGGGTGCTGGTGAAAGAAACCAGTTAAGTGAGGAACTGGAGGTGGAGAAGAGGGGTGGCTTTTGGGGCCTGGGAGGGCAGGTGCGGGGAGGAGAAGAGAACCTGAGGGAGGTGAACTGGAGCATGTCCCCACAACAGCATGCTGCCTTCCTGGGGCTGCAGTCAAGCCTCGCCCCTGAGTCTCCAAAGGCAACTCTGAAAGCACTAGCAAACTGATGGGAGCCCATAGAGAGGATAACAACCTACTCCTGTTGCATGTTATCCCAAGTTGAAGTCTGCATTAGGGACCTGAAGGTGCCAAATCTGCAGCGGAACCATGCAGTGGTCTTTCTACTTTTTGAATTCATTTCTGAAATACCAAGGAAATCCTGCCACCAAGCACACTTGTACACTCATGCACAAGGGCATGCACACAAATATCCCTGAAACAGCACTCAATGCTGCAAAGCCACATGCACAGAGATTTCCAGAGCCCCCCAGGCCCTCTGTGGAGAAAAAAGTTCCTCCTCTTTGTGTGAAAACAATACAAAAAGCACCAGCTATTTTAACTCAAGGAATACCTAATTCTGAGTGCTCAACTTTGTCATTTTAGGAATGTTTTTTTAACTTAAATAATGGGTGTGTAAGACAGTATGCATAGACAACTGTGATGGAGACTGTCCCCAGGAACCACACGTGAGAAAGATTTGTTTCTCTACTGACCTGTGAACTTTACATTTTCACAAAAATCAGATTTTTTAACTCATTTTTGGGTTTTGCTTTGTTGCTGAGGGCTCTAACCTCCAGGGGAGGGAGGGGAACTATGCCACACTGCTGTCTTGCACAAGCCTGCCACATGTTAGTGCTCAACAAATAAACCTCTAACCCAGGGAACCCTGCTACAAGACTGCGACACTTGATTTCCTGTTAGAGGTAGGCAGTTTGTGTACACTCAGCTTTCCCATGAGGAAGTGAGACTTACATGAACGCTATGCCCCAGTGCTGCCCAGCCTCATCCCCAGCTGAGTCAAAGAGAGGTAGCGCAACCAAGGTGATGGTGGGAGCAATTGTCAGAGGGCCAATGAACCTCATCAGAAATCCGATCAGGCCAGAAAATCCAACGAAGATTTGAAAGCAGGAAGCTACAATGATAGCTCCTTGCACCTGGAAAACGGAGGAAGAGAGCAGAGGTTGAAAGGAGCTCCAGCTGTGGAGACTTTTCTTCATAAATCAGTGCAAAACCAGTGTGAGAACCAAGCTCAGCCTCCAGTGATGGACCAGCACAGAGGCTTCCCGCTGACTACAGCAAAGCCTAGCTGAGCATTACATGTGATGAAGGACCACCAAAGTACCAACACACCAACTCCCCCCTTGGCTGATGGATTTAGTCCTCAACAGGGCTAATTTTGTTCCAGACACCCCCTCCTCCCTGGCCTCTTGGGCCACTCAAGCATGCATCAGCTTCCCTGCACTCTCTCTTCCTGCTCCCCCAAAACTCAGGGGAAAATCTCTTGCCCCAAAAACGGGAGCAGAACCATGGTGTCCACTCATCTCCCATCTGTGAAGGGCTTGGGGCATTTCAGCACGCTGGTAGGGCAGGTGGGTCATTACAGTTTCTGTTTTTTTCTATCAGTTTCCCTCCGGGGACACATTTATCACCCTGAACTTTCCTGTGTTTGACAACCACTGCTAAGTAGCCAGTGATTACATCCTGAAATGCTGTTCGCTGCTCACGTCACTCCAGGCAGGTGTAGGGCTGTTCTCCGCCTTCACAGATTTGGTGATAAACCCAGGCTGGGTCCTCTGCGGTGCTCAGCACCTTCCCTCATTCCCGCTCCAAGGAGAAGAGGCTGGGGTGAAGCACCCAGCCTGAAAGGAGAAGGCAGCACTACCCTTGTGGCAGATTTACAAGTGTCAGTAGGGAGGGCAGCCTGTGCTGCACAGCAAATCCTTCGTGAGCTCACGTTTTCCGTGTGCTTTGCAAAGCACCCCAACGTATGGATTGACAGAGGCAAATTTAGTCACCTACTCTGATAAGGCAACAGATGTAGGACAAGGCACTGAGATCCCTGACCTTCCCTTCTCTCTTTTGACTAAGAATGCACTTTTCCTTAATATTTACAGTAAGCTCTGCCCTCACATTTCTTTTTACTAGGTTTCCTGTGCTTAGACAGGGTCCCTTCCTTGGAAATATCTTCCCTCCCTTCCTTCCTCAAGGCTAACCATGCTTCATGGAGAAAGGATCTGGCTGGACCAGTGGAGACTTTGCAGGGACCATAAATCTCCTGAGGTCTGCATGTCCCCTGTTCAGCAGCAGTGAAGCATCTGCTTTCCTAGTGGAGACTACTGGATGCTTAGGAAGCTGCAACAGCGTGAGGGCCAAGGTCCATTGGGGATGGTGGGTTCTCCAGCACTGATGGCCCTACCATGGTCAGATGCTTTTCTGAAAGCAAACAGCCCTGACACAGAGCAGGTGTCACTGAAAATGTAATATACCTCTCGCATCCGTGTCTGCCAGACTTCGATGAACTCTGGTGAAGAGGCATTCACCAGGGTAGCATTTTGCGTCCAGGCAGGGCACTTCCACTTGGGGAGAGACAGCATGGCCAGCGTTGGGGTCAGGAATGCAAAAGTGCCTCCTTGAATAATAGGCAACCTGGAAGGAGAGCAGAGGGAAAAGATGACGAGCAAGAATGCTAGAAACGCAGATCCATAGGGGTGAGTGAAAGGAAGGTGAAATAAATTTAAAAATCGATCTGCACATGGCCTCTGTCAGTATCTTTTGAAATGTTCTGGCAGGTCTCCATCACTGACCATGGGTGGGCATTGCCGCCCATTGCGCTCAAGAGCAACATAGCCGGGACGAAGAGCTCAGGTTCAAATACTGCCAATGGAGAGGCTCATTGGTGCTGGAGTCAAACTCTGCTACCCTGCACTAAGGAAAAAGTTTTCCTTCTAAGGTGTGACTAGACCACAGAGCTGCACAGAGTAAAACAACAACAAATGGAAAAAACTGGAGGAGGGGAGAAGACTAAGGAAGAAAGATAGCAAGACTCTGAAGAAAAGCTTAGTATCAACCTAGGCCCAAATCTTTCCAATATTTTGTTGCTTCCTCTGTCCCCTTCAGCTGCCTCAGTTTTCTTCACAACCTGCTCATGAACACAAGGACATGCACTGGCTACTCCCCATGTCACAACCATCCTCAGACAGAGGGCAGTGGAAAATGTGACTTGGCTTTTAGCACAATTTTTTAAAGCTAATGGCTCTGCCCTGTTTCCACCAACACTGGAAAGGAGACCTGCATGGATGGGTCTGAGCGCACTGGCTGGGTGAGACCTTGGCTCTGCCCCCACGCCGTGTGTCTCCTGGCTTAGAGTAACTCTCACTCAGGAAAACCCTCAGGCTAGCAAGGAGCTGGCTCCTCCAGAAGCTCTCAGCACTGGCTTCATACAGAGCTTTGTACAATGGAGCTGGTGCTCCTGTGAGTTACGTCAGCTGCTTCTCCTTCCACACATGGAGAAATGGAGACAGAGACCTAAAAGGCCTGACTGGCTCTTCAAAGCCCCGCATTAAGCCCCCATTGCAGTGCAAGTTGTTTTGACCATTCCTCTAGCGTGCTGGAAAAACCCAAAGCTGCCCGAGGGCGCAGGCTGGCACAGCAGCTCTGAACCAGCTGAGAGAAACCTCCGAGGTGCCTTGGCTTCCTCTCTTTAGGAAGTGCCCCTTGGAGCAGCCCCCAAAGCAACCTTTCCTTGCACCAGGAGCTCTCGTGGTGCCTGCTCAGAAAAGCAGCGGGGCAGTGAGCCAGGTGAGTGCTTTTGCAGGGCACGGACTTCCCTGAACCAGAGGTATTTCCACCATTCTCTGGAAAGCATTGGAAAATAAGAGACAGCATAGCTGTAACAGCACCACGTCTCCGTCACCAAAACAAATATACCACTGCAATTACATATGCCTTGCACAACCAAAGCACTGTCAAAGCTTTGCCAGTAAGTTATATTTGAATATCAGTCATCCGTGTAGTCACTTATTTACTGCATTTGGCCAAATATGCTGCAGTCTTCAAAGGATTTTGCTGGGCAAGGCAAAAAACAAACAAAAAGAAACAGAGAAGGCCCAGTGCCACCCCTGTTGAATTAACAATAGATTAACAATAGATTTATAGCTCCCGCTGGCCCTCAAGCTACTTCACAGCTAGTGCTGGCATGGGTGGGCTCAGAGCAAACTGGGGTGCCGAGGCAATGCATACGTGGCATACTGAGCTCTTTCCAGTGGGGTTTGCAAGAGGGAAAGCTGCAGGTTTAGAGAAGGAAATATTATGCTCTGATCACCACTACACGATGTCCAAGCATCTGCTAAGGGGGGCTCACCATAATGGCAAGCGACCTGTGTCTCCCCTCAGGAGCCTTTTGGATAGTGTCTCCAGTGACCGACTGGGACCCGTCACTCCTTTTTCATGCTGTGTAACATGACCGAGCTGCAGGTTGCAATGGGTCGGGCTTTTCCCTTGGCTACTGCTTCTGGAGGGCTGCTTCTGAACTGCACTCGCTCTTGATGGGAACCTCCCCATCTCCATGGCCAGTTCCCATCCATTCGTTCACGTGCCAACATTGTCTTTTAGCCAAAATGGCTTCTCCCTGCCTGATACCCCCCCCATTTCTCTCCCAGAGTAGTTGCAGGCTGCAGCCGTACCCCTCTGAGCCACCACTTTGCCAGGCTAACCAGGCCAGCCTCTGTAAGATGAACGGTCTCCCTTCCCCATGACACATTAACAGATTGTCTCCATACCTCTTCTCCTCTGAATTAGTCTTTCTTAAATATGGACACCAGCAACTGTGCAGAGCGCTCAGCTGAGGGCTTCCCGGGGCCTCGGAGAGTGGCATGGATGTTTTCCAGGAAAAAGCATCCCCTCCAACTTGTATTTACCACTTTCCTGGCTGTCTTGTTGGTGACTTATGGTTATCAACTACTACAGGGTTTCAGAAAACAGTAAAAGGAGAAAAAAAAAAAATCTTCTTCCAACTCAGGCTTGGTTTGCCTCCGGCCACACCACAGGCTGAGTCCAACCTTTCCGGCAGGAATGTCCTCACACAATATAGTTGGGGCCAGCAACAAGGCAACTGCATCCTCAGCACAGCAAAAGCCATTCAAGCTTATCCTACGGGAACAACTCCTTACCACTTAATTTTTTCCTCATTTAGCTATTCAGCCATGGGAGACACTCCCTGCTACTCTTTCATCCTCAGCTAACAGAGAGCAGGGGACAACACAACTCTCAGGTATTCACCGAGGCATTTGAGGGGTGCCTGGGAGGATTCCAGCCTGAATCACACAAGCAGCCACAGCCACGGTCATGCACCCCAGCCTGAATTTAACCAAACTGAGAAGAACCAGATTCTCTCTTTTTCATGGCCAGGGTGTCCCCCCTCCTCCACTAATCTTGTAGGGATGTAGAAGGGGAGCATCCTCCGGGGAGAGGTTTGCCTACAACCACTTCCTAAGACAGATAGAGATGGAAAAGCTGCACTGGGGAAAGAAACAGGAGGAGTAAAAACATTTTGTGGAGCTGACAGTTGACCAGTGATTTGATAGTAGAAGAGTTTTAACCAGGTCCCTCAGATTCGGAAGCCAAAGAAGGTGTGATTTTTGCCTTTGAAACAAGAAACACAGGTTCCCACCATAATGGAGGAAAAAACAGCCTGTGGAAAGAGAGAGGCAGCCCAGAGTTATGACAAGGGGAATAAAAGAAATTTTGCAAGGCCAGCAAAGATACAGGGTCTTTGTGGCAAGGGGGAGCGCTTGCAGTCATGTCTCTTATTAAGTACTTCATTTTCTGGGTAGTGAATGGCAACTCCATGCTCATTTCCTCACCACCAGCTCTTCAACAGCTCAGCAGCAAAGAGGATTTACCTTGCTTACTTTCAGATTGTGCCATGAATCCTGGAGCATGGGAAGTGGCACCACTTAACAGGATGTGCTGCAGAGTTCCTCCCTGGGTCCCTAAGGGGTGGCAGATGGGCTTCAATTCCTCCCAATTATCCCCAGCCCTAGAGTTTCCTAAGGGATCTGTGCTCCCTTGATCCCAGGCCCAGATCAGAAGGGTCCTGCCTCAGCTGGAGGATCCCTGGATAAGGAGCAAGCAGATATTGTTTACTGCATGTTTCAATGCTTTATTATTTTGCAGGACAGATTCCTTATAAGTCCAACAAAAGGTGCATCAAGTACCAGGAGATGCAAAAGTCAGAACTTAGCCATGCAAAGCTACCACATACAGCGATTTCAGGATGCTTTGGCATCTGTCCTGATTGCCCAAGTGTAGCAAATGACCCTCACTGATAGTAAACTCTACAGCAGACTGGTGGCCAAGCGTGTAGTAATTGTATCTACAAACTTCTTGAGTGTCCCATTTCTCGCATTTGGCCTACCTGACTCCAAAGAGGACTTGCAGCAGGGTGCAAATCCCTGAGACAAAGAAGATGGTGCTGATCAGGTGGCTCTGGGTGAGGAGGTCGTGCTGGAGGCAAAGCTCTTTGGAGAGGATCAGCGGGATGGCTACGAGACCTCCCATGGCTGTCAGGAAATGCTAGGAGCCACAGAGAAAGACTGGGTGAAGAAGGACACAGAACTGGTCGTATATTATTCCCATGTTGTTGAGGGAAATCTAAAAGTAACTCACAGATTTGTGTTTGGGTGATACTAGTATTACCCGTTCTCTTTTTTGACAGCTTTACTGCTCTGTTAGGGACTGTTCCAAGGCACCTACAAGAACTACAATGCACCCCCACAAACTTCTCCAACTTTCCATGCCCAAAGACCTTTTGTAGTGCTCTGGACTCCCCAGATCACTGTCAGATGCAACCAGTTTATTCTCAGCACCTGCAGACAAAGCTGATGGGGCTACTCTTCCAGGAATATGGGGACATCCCAAGATAGGGGGACAGAGCGATCAGGCAAAGTGAGTGCAAATGTTTCAGTCCATCTCATTTGCACCACAAAAGATAGTATAAAAAGCTGGCAAATTGGAGCTACCCATTCTTTGCTATCAGTAGATTTTCTCATACAGTGCAATTACAGATAACCATAAAAAGTGGATAAATCAGGCATTGCATTTTTCTGCATAGTCACAGACATATTTCTACAATGACCTTCAGTTAATTATTAAATGTGAAAATATTTTTTCAAACTTACTTTTGCTTCAAATATTAACCTTAATTGTGGTGAGCAATGAGCAAGTCAAGGTTGTTTCAGTTGGTATCACTTCCCAGTTCTTGCCTCAGAGCATAGGACACAGTGGTGGAATTGGAGGCACTCAGAAACTCACTGTGCTCATTAGAGGCATGTTTTATTAAAATTATGATGTAGATGTGTTCAGAAAACCTTGTCTTAATACATTCTAAATCTGAGATGACCGTTTAAAGAAACAAAGTACAAAATGCCCACCAAGCTCCAAGCGCAGTCCATCATTACCTTAACTACTCTGAGGTCTCTCTTCCCTGAGGCTCCGTACCCAGTGTGGCGTTGGTGGCATTGGGTCATTTAACACACCTGGGCACAGACACCAGCCAAAGCAGCATGGGCCCTTCTGCTTAGTTTTTATGGCCATGGGAAGGCAGAAGTTCAGAAGCTTTTAGACATTTGGCTAACTTCAGCCGAATTATCTGACTTGTTCTTATTAACTGTTTGGCTCCGGCCTGGGGACTCTGCCTTCCCCTTTGCACTTCAAGGGGCATGGTGTAGCTGGGGGCACAAGGATAACAGTCGATGCTCAGGAGGTGGTGGGAAGGACTTGAGGTCACCGAGATCCAGCCCCACAGCTCCAGTCATGCCCAATGAAGGTGAAGCACTCCCAAATTCAGGTTTTACCCCCATTAATTGGCTGAATGGCCATTAAACTTCCACCTGCCCCCAGCCTCCACCTGCTCCCCCATCGCACCTGAATGCCCAGCAGGATGCAGAGGTACCAGGGGGGCACGTCTGTGACGGTGTAGGCAAGCTTGCTGTCGTCGTGGCCCATGCCCCTGCCTTCTCCTGAGCCCCAGGCAGCACGATCCGGCAAGGAGCAATAGTGGCTCCCACCTTCACCCTGGCAAACAGGAGAGACTCTTCATTAGCCACAGCCCAGCCCCGCAGGCACCCATCAGCCGCCTCTCTTGCAGCTGCGCTCCACGTCTTGCAGGAACACCTCATATGTAGCTTTCAACAAAGGCAGGATAAATGGGGGGCACCTGTGACGGTGTAGGCAAGCTTGCTGTCGTCGTGGCCCATGCCCCTGCCTTCTCCTGAGCCCCAGGCAGCACGATCCGGCAAGGAGCAATAGTGGCTCCCACCTTCACCCTGGCAAACAGGAGAGACTCTTCATTAGCCACAGCCCAGCCCCGCAGGCACCCATCAGCCGCCTCTCTTGCAGCTGCGCTCCACGTCTTGCAGGAACACCTCATATGTAGCTTTCAACAAAGGCAGGATAAAAAAAAAGAGCAAGGGCGGAAATTAAAATGGAGGTAAAAACACCTATGGAAAATTTTTATATGCACGTGTGTGTCTAGACCAGAAGAAACATTAGAGGATGTCTCAGCCTCAAAGGGACATCTGGACAAAGTGTGTTTGTATCATTAATGTCTAGCTAAGGATGGAGAAACTGCAACCAGCAGCAAGAAATAGTGTGGAGTGGGTTAATCAGCAAAAGCTGCACTGTCCCCTGGTCTCTGTTCCTCCTGGCTGTCCCACCCAAACAGCGTTTTAGATAAAATATGCTAAGACAACTTGGACGCCACTAATTACAGAGTAGAAGCATGTTTTATATTTCATTGTCTTAAGTCTTCTCTTTCCAATCTCCTTACACTCACCTTTACAAATGTTCTGCCTCGATAAACACACCTGCCCTTTGTCTTACTAGAAAACCTCGCTCCTACGGAGGAACTGGGTGAAACACAGGGACACCAGAGGATGGGGAGTCCTGGCGTCCGTTTCAAAGGAGCCGACTCAAAGCAGGGCTACCGGGGTGCTGCCCCAGCTCGGCCACCTGCTGTGGGGAATGGCACCCCGTGGGATGCCCCAGGGCGGGGGCAGCACCAGGGACCGTAAACAGCCTGGGGACCTGGGGCCTCAGGGAGGTGGCGGGGGCTGAAATAGCTCCCCAGCTTGGATCCCCTCCCAGGCAGCCAGAAGCCCCAGGGCTTCCCAGGGAGCTGTACCTGGGAAGGTACCACCTTGCAGAGTTTATTTGTACAAAGACGCATTTTGCCAAGGAAAGCAAAATATTGCTTTGCTTCAGTTGCCACAGTTTTTAAGCTAAGTAAATGCCCTGGTTGTCCACTCCTCCTTCCAACCCACCCTGACCCCTGAGCACACACATGCACATGCACACACACACACATTGCCTGGGCACACAGACACCCTATGTGCATGTGCACGCACGCGCACACACACACATCCACGTCCCACCTGCGTGTACACACACACCCCCCGGAGCACACATGCACATGCACACACACACACATTGCCTGGGCACACAGACACCCTATGTGCATGTGCACGCACGCGCACACACACACATCCACGTCCCACCTGCGTGTACACACACACCCCTGCACACACACGCATGTGGTAGAGGGAGGCTGCCTGGGAAGCCACAACGTTTTGAGCCAAATGCAAAAGCTAATTAAGATCCCAAACCATTTGCTTCATCGATCCTTCTCCAGCCAGCGAGCCCTTGGCACGCCAGCAGCATCCCACGCCCTGCTCTGTCAGGCAGACAGAAACCTGCTCTCAGGAGGAGCTCAACCAGTTTGTCAGCACCAAACTGCTTTTTTTTTTTTTTATCCTCCAAGTCCTGCTGGAACCTGAAGACACCAAAATGCCCAGCAAAGTGAGGTGGCTGCAATAATGCTCATGGCCTACGTACTGATGGAGGCAAACAGCTAATGCTCGGTCAGGGAATAGGGATGCAAAATTGATGTTACATTCAGTTGTAAATTTTGCAGGTGTGGCAGATTAAACCTGAAGGACTTCATCATTTGCCTGAAACCTCCAGGTTTCCATTGTAACGGCTGAGTCTCCGAAGTCCCATTTTAGGTCACACTGTTGAAAATGTGCTATGTAATACTTTTTAAACACAATGTATTTATCCAGCCTAGCCAGGCTGGGAGCATTACAGATACTTCAAAATAGATAGGTGAAGGCAGAGTTAATTCAAACTGAACTCAGGCATGAACTTCAAGAGCAAAAGGCATTCCTGAATAACTCCCTGTGGAGACATTTTCATTTCAGAACAAGAGAGCCTGAGCCATGGATTAACGAATGTACGGCAAGGTACTTAAGACTGCCCGTGCACAGTTATTTGGGGACAGCTACTCCTGAGTAACACCACGGGTAGATGAATACTAAGCTAGGAGGACAACAGTAAGCTCCTTTCCTTGCATTGCAACTTTTCCCATGTTAACCAGGAGGCATATTCTAGCTGGCCAGAGCCTGTGCCAGCAACAGCCCCACATGACCATCACATGAATGCCTGACCCTCCCCAGCAGCTGGCGGGGAGCGAGCAGGGTTCAGTGGGAGAAGGATGGAGTGGAGATAACAGGATGAGAAAGGACCAGAGGCAATGGGCTCAAACTGAAACACAGGAGGTCCTGTCTTAACATCAGGAAACACTTTTTCTCTGTGAGGGTGACCAAGTACTGCACAGGTTGCCCAGGGAGGTTGTGGAGTCTCCATTCTTAGAGATATTAAAAAACTGCCTAGACACAGTTCTGGGCAACTGGCTCTAGGTGACCCTGCTTGAGCAGGGGGATTGGACAAGTTGACCTCCAGAGGTCCCTTCCAACCTCAGCCAGTCTGTGATGCTGAGATGCTGACAGGAGGACAAGGCAGGAGCAGTCCGGCATGGGAACGAGGAACCACTGCTGGTGGTGCTCAGCCCAGTTGCTCCTACAAATTCAGGGGACCAGGATGCCCTCCGTGTGCCTCAGTCTCCAGACAAAGCATCAGGACCCTCAACAGCATCTTAAATAAGCACATCAGGAAGGGGGTCAGAAACTGAGCTTCTTGAACCACAGGTAAAAGACTTCTGTCTTCTACCTTCTTTGGGGTGATTCAAACCAGAGGAAGTCACAAGCCTGATCTGCATTATGGGAGAACAGGTAGAAACAGAGACCGTTAGCAATAGCAAAAGAAAACATCTGCATCGCTCTGAGCACCTCCCTGAGGCTCTGTCTGCAGCTGGCACAGCACCCTCACTGCTCACAGTGAGCTCACCAAGAGTTATCTGAGAAATGGGAGACCTGGACACCAGGAGGTTAAATGCCTCCTCCAAGGTCCCCCAGGTGGGTGGTCTGTACTGTGTACAAAGACAGTGTCAGGATCCCACTTTCACACCTGCTGTCAGAAAATAAGCAGCTCTTTTAGTTTCTAATGGAGGTGACCCCTGCCGTCAGATAGGAAGGGGGCTGCTGTGCCCCTTGCCCTATGGCTGTTATAGCCCGCAGCATTTCCAGTGTGCTGCACACCCCTGAATTGACACATCATTTACAGCTTGTACCACCCTGCTGTAACCCTACAGGGTGCTCTCCCTTGCTGACTCTCAAATCCCTTTTTCCACCACCTCTCTGCCAATTTACCCCACTAGAAATAGACCCAGAAGACAAAGAAACACACTCTTTACTAGACTAAATTTCTATTGTAATTGTACTAATTAATACATAAAATGCTCTACCCAGGGACACAGCCACAAGGAGCCATGAGCTCGCTTGCTTTTCAGTACAGATAAACTTGCACTGCCATTCATTTACATGGTCATTTTAGAAATAATGGAGAGAAAAGAAGTGAAAAGGATGCCAGAGAGTAGAAAGTATGCTGAGTCTGCAGCAGCAGCAGCAGGCTGTAGTGAGGAAATCATTCCTCGGATTCCTGTTGCTAAAGGAGCCGAGACAGATATTTACCCCACCAGCATCCTTGCAGCCAGTCCAAGTCCCCTGGCTTTCCTTTCTCCTCCTTTCGCAGGGCTCGCACCCATTTATGCAAGCATTACCCTTCAGAGAAGAGCAGACTCACCACGAAGTTGGGGTTATCTAGCCCGTTGAGCTCTTTGTCTGAAGAGGGGGTCATGCCTTCCACTTTCCTTCACCGACTGCCTTGAAAAAGACCAGTAAGAAGAGGAAAGCCTCCCGAATTGCCACTTGTCCCAGTCAACACAGCCCTAAAGAAACGGGATGAGCAGATGCAGAAGCTGGACTTCGGGAGTCAACCAGCACTCAGTCCTAGCTATTCATGTGAGCCGTATTGCAGAAGCATTTCCTTTCCCTTGGCTTATATAAGTGACTCCTTTTCTCCAGCTGATTAGAGGACCGGCATTCAAACCAAACTGGAAAGCAGCCCTTCCCTGGACTGACTGACTCAGTAACTGATGGCAGGAAAAACTTCCTCCGTAGGTAAAGATGTGAGAGTGTATCAGAGAGGTGAGACATTTCCCTGTTTTCCTGGCACGGCCCTGAAACTTGTTGCTTCATTATTGATTCAACAGCAACTTGCATTTTCCGTGTAGGGTTGAGCCTGTTTGAAAAGCTTTGTGCTGATATTTAGAAAATTCGATTTCTAGATGGTTTCATTTATTCTGCATGTAAACTGCTGTGTATTTTGGCTTAGGTACAAACGTCGTCTTCTTGTATGATAATCCTATTACAACATGAAAAGAATGAGGATTTTACTGGGAACCTATTTAAGGCAGCAACCAATAATCAAGTCATCAGAACATGACACCAGGGAGGTATAAAAGACCTAAGATTGAAAAAGGACTACTTCAGGCCATCTGATTATCTCCACTGTGGACATCAGAGTAGACCTGTTGGAATGAAGAGTTTAACAGTACCAGCCTCTGGCCAACAAAGGGTTAGTGCCATAATTTGGAATCTAAAAGGAGGTTACGAAATAGTACAATGTACATGTTAAAGTAGAAATTTATGGATGTAATGTGAAGTGTCCCAGCTTGGAATATCCTGCCCTTGGAAATAAGCAAAGCATGTAGGAAGTCTCTGTGTGCATGCAAATGTCTGTGTACATCATATGTGTATGTACATGTGTATATTTGTGTATATATAACAGGATTAACAATAAATTACTAAATTGTGAGGCTTTTCACAGCAAGGAATTATTCAATTAGCAAAGATGCATGCTTAACCAGTAATGTCGTCAATTAATAGCAGCCTAATCAATTGTATGAATGGCTTTTAGGAATAAATCGGCAGGCATCCACCTGTTCAACTCATTCATGATGTGTGAGGAATGAAAACAAGAGAAAATACAGTATGGATTCCCTTTAGACTTGTGTGTCTGGCATATCTCCTGCTATCAGCCAAGCTACCTGTCCAGCTGCTCTTGTCAGTAAAGTTTATGCCCCTGGGGGCAGAAGCAGCCAACTGACTGTTAAAAGCAACTAATCAAGGAAAAGCTTGGAGACATGGGAGACCCAGCTCAAAGCTTCAGTCTCGACCTGTACCCACAAGGAGAGCCTGGACCATCCGTATCCTGACTCTCCTCACAGGGTAATTTTGTCTCTTATGCTACATTCCTCCCTGAAACTCAAAGTCTTTCTCAGGCCATGTTTCATAATGGATCAACTTATAATGCCACCCTGAGATACAAACCCGAACTGTCCCTGATTATGCCTCCATGACCAAGGACCTTCCTGCACTCTGTAGGTGTCCCCACTGAATTGCAGTTGGGGTGGCACCAGCGTGGCAACTTCCAAGGCCATACTGGTAGATACAGATGTGGCAAGTGTCTGCCACATGCAATCCCCAAAAAATCTGGGTAGTGACAAATCTGAACGTGCTGGCAGCGGAGGGCGCTGCCAGCAACTACGGGCAGGTTTGGTGAGAGAGTCCTCCCACTGACTTTACCCATCTGCAATACAGGCAGATGATACATGACCTTCCTTTGCATTCAGTGGGCACCTCTGAAACTTCCGCTGCATCTTAAAATAGGAGTCCCAAATGGGCTAGATAAAACAAATCCCATTTCTTTCCCAAACTATGAAACAACCAAGAGTGACTGGCACAGATGACGTCTAAAGTTGAGTGAGAGGAGTCCCTCCATGTGTGGCTGTCCACACATTACCCAGGGAGGTGCAGACTTAGTGAGTCACACCAAGCCCCTTGCTGGGAAGGCAGGTTCATCCACAGTGCTCTCACAAACCTATGGCACTGACCCCCAGCAACTGGAGCTGGGAAAAGATGGGTTTAGAGGGAACTCAGGGCTATGAAATAAAAGCAGTGCGGTACAGAAGAGGCGTGACATGGAGACCTTGCACCAAAAAGAAATGGAATCATCTTCCTGGAGAACGGTTTGTTCTTCCACAGAGCTAGCCCTGGTTGGTTTGTGTGAAGGATGGACTAGGAAGAGAGCTAAGCAAATGACTTGCAATGAGTAATTTAGTCACAAAATACCTCTATGCCCTTCTGTCTGCAGAACCTTCTGCACACAAATAGGATCACCCATGGTCACTGACTTGAAATTAGTACTTCCGTGTTCAGTAGTGGAAGGTTGGCTTCTGCAGAAAAGTTCTGCACTGTTCACTTTTGGTGAGCCCAGTGCTTTTGGTCTTGGCCTGCCGAAGTGCGCAAAGACTATTTCCCATGAAAACTAAGTCTCATCACTTAAGTGCAACCAGTGCAACACACTGCAATGTGCCTGGGGTATATGACAAACTTCACCTGAGAGAATGTTTGATTAAAACACAACAGGGGAACAAACATGACCCCTTAAATAAATTCCCTTAACTAGTCAGGGATCATTGCTTTCTATTTTTGCACCAGGATCTCTATGGCACAGCAAGAAACCGAGTGCAGAGTCCCAGCCAGAGTCCCCACCTGTGTGCTCGCCCTTCCCCCTCCCAAATCTCTCAGTTGCCTTTTCTCATCCAAAGGACCTGACATATAAAGACAACTGAGGCACTGAGGCACATATCTACATTCCTGTCGCCAGTTCCCCATGTAAGCAAAAGCAAACATCCCAGGGAAATTGGGCAGGCGGCAGTCAGACAGCAACACCCACTGAGCTGGGCGCAATGCATAAGCTTCCCTGGCTCTTTTCTGGCAAGACCCCTGCAGTCGCCCAGCTCTCCCAGCAAGTCTCCCCTGACCCAGTCCCTTCTTCTTTCCTCCTGTCACTGTTCATCCAGCCACACCACAGCCCTGCCCTGGGTGCGAGTCCTGGATCTCACCGCTGTCAGGGGAGCTTGTCAGTCCCAGGGGATAAGCACTTCTCCATGCAGGGCTGTTCCTGCCCGCCATGCCCAGCCCTTGTGCAGGCCAAAACCTGGGGCGCACTGCGATCGAGACCCCACAAGGCAGAGCACCACATAGCCTTTTCTGGTTACCCTTGTGTCGCGGAGGCTCACGAAATCAAATTAGGCAGGTGATAAATTAAAAAATAAACTTTATTTTAACCAAAATTGTTTAAGAGAAAACTAACTAGAAATGAGGCGTCGACACTCTGACAACATCAGTAAACCACAGGTTCAGGATGGTGTACAAGGAATTAATACTGCACAGACGGCTTTAGAAATGAGGACCCAAAATGTGCACAATCACTCACCTATAAGATGAGGGCTCTCACCCTCAAGGAGTTTCCTTGGGTGGCGTCCCAACCCAAGGGGAGAGTCCCCGACTGCAGACCCGCTGCTCCGAGGAGGACCAGCTCAACTTGCCCTCCGGTGGGGCTCCATTTATACCCTAGTTGAATCTGATCTGTGGTCAATTCTGATTGGCTGAGGGCCTTGACTTTCTTACCCCTCGCCCGAGGTGTATACATGACCATAATCACAGCCCCAAAGTGTGTACCAGGTCAGCACCTGCCACCTTAAAGGCACAAAAGTAAGGACGTGAAAAGTGAGGACACAGTGGTCTTACTACCCCCAGTCTTTGTCAGGGCAGGTGCACCTGCCACACCTCACAGTTCATCTACCTGCGCTCCTCTCCAGGGACCCTTCTCCAGACATCCTCGTGTCACGAGGAAGAAGAAAAGCGCTTGTTCTTCTCTGGGACTGGTGCTTTTTGGTGTCAAAGCAGCACAATAAAAAACTGCAGAGCTGACAGGGACTGTGCCAAAACCAGGAGAATGGTATGAGGGTGTGGGCCATGCCAGGATGGAAAAAACACCTACAGGAGATTAAAGGAGGGATCTCTTAACTGTCATGGTGCTGTGTTGATGCCAACACACCTCTGCTTGGCTGCCTGTGCTACAGGAAGAGGGATGCCGCTTTCTCTGGCCAGGGGAGGCAGGACACAGGGGTGGAACAAGGTGAAGGGCGGCCATGTGCCATCCCCAGGGCTGAGGGCGTCCTGGCCTGGTGAGGCCATGGGATGGGAGACGGGAGAGCCCCAGCAGCTGATCCAAGCTGGGGTGCCAGCTTTGAAGCTGTAGAGCAGGGGCTGGAGGAGAAAATTGTCCAGGGCAGGGCGACACTCATGCAGGTGGGAACGTGTGAGAGAGGCACTTTTGCAAAGGGGGTATTTAAAAGGTTCAAAGAGGCACAGGAGAAGGTAGGGGGAAATCCCACCGTGGCTCAGCAAAGCTTTATCCCCAAGTGGATGCCCATCAGCCAGCAGGGAGATCTGAGTGCAGGTGTGAGAGACCTTTGAGCCAGCTTTGAAAGCCATCAGCTGAGCTTTGCCTTGCAAGGTTGCTGTGGCGGAGGAGCAGGCCTTGAAGGAGATCACCCACAGATGATCTGCCGGGAAGGTGGGAGCCCCCAGCCAAGACTCTGGGGCTGGGAGAGCTTGGCCACAAGCTGCATCCCCTTGGCCACACCAGCTCCCCTGCTAGCTCCCCCTTCCTTCTTGCCTTCCGCACAAGGAAAGGCCTCGCTGAGCCGGGGCACAGACACGGTCCTCGCCTGAGCCCAGGGTCATCCCCTGCCTCTGCCTGCACAGCCCAGTGCCTGGCTCCCCGGCTCTGCGCAGACAGCTGCCACCAGAAAGCAGGGTGCAGGGAACGGCGTTGAAATCCCCCCCCAGCAGGATATTGGTTTTGCAATAATAAGCCCCTTTATCTCCCTCGGGCCCAGGAATAGCTCTTAAGAGCATTACCAAAGGAATAATCCATGTCAT